TAATGGTGTTGCAGTCCTAAGTTGTAATTTCTATATGCAAACTTGTTATTGAATTGAGTTGACACGTCATCTCCATTTCTAAACTTATCTTTCAGATATGCAGACTTGTTATTTGACTAAGTAATGATTTCCATATGTAGACTTGTTATTTCTCTTATAAAGTTGTAATAACCATATACGAACTTATTATTTAGATATGCAGATGTTATTTTACTAACCAGTAGTTTCTATATAGAGACTTGTTATGTGGCTAACTAAAGTTGTAATGACCATATGTAGACTTGTTATTTAGCTATGTAGACATGTTATTTTACCAACCAATAGTTTGTAGATGCAGACTCGTTATTTTAGTTACTAAAGTTGTAATAACCATATGCGGACTTGTTATTTAGATATGCAAACATATTATTTTATAAAAGAGGAGTTTCCATATCTAGGCCTGTCATTTCACTTACTAATGTTGTAATTACCATACACAGACTTGTTATATTCATAATTGAAGTTGTCATATTCATTAACATAGTTGTTGTTATGATAATGAAACCTGTCATTTAAATATAGGGATCCTAACTTGGTATTATGGTGGTAGGAGTGAGAATTTATTAGGACTTTCACAAGAAATGAATGAAGCTGAAATGACCATTGGTAATAAACATGAACCAGTGAATATTGAGAATAGAGGTGAATGCCTGACTTTTGAAGAGGGTAGATCAAGTCAGAGAACCATATGTAGTGGTTTAGAGAGTGAGGAAACATTGATGGGCGAGATGAATTGTATGAAATGGGCAGGAGTGTTTGTAGGAGTGGGCCAATATGTTCCACATGCTGTTGCTTTTAGGAAAGCTGTTTACAAGTTTAGTATTACAGAGAATTTACAGCGAGATATGTCAAGAATAGTAAGGAGAAGAAGAATGTGAGGTGTAAAGTAGAAGGGTGTCTTTAGAAGATATGTGCAAATACTATTGGGAAGAACACTCCTTTATTACGTGTGACTATATTTTGCAATGAGCACATTCATTTAACGCAAGACAATCTGATTATGACTTATGGTGGGAGTGCTGTATTGATATCATCAATAATAGTTGAAAAGATAAGGGACCATGCTGAAAAAGGACCTACTGAGATAAGGAACATATTGGAGAGGGAGTATAGTGTGAGGCTTACATATTATCAGGCCTATAAAGCAAAGGAAAAGGCAATGGAAGAAATACATGGTTAATTGGAACAATCCTATATGTTAATACCATGGTTATGTGAAAGACTGAAGGAAACCGATGACAAAACTGTTGCTGAATGGGCCTTTGTTGGTAATAGATTTGAGCATGTTTTCATTGCATATAGTGCATGTGTTGAGGGTTTTTTGGATGGTGCAATGCCTATATTATACATTGATGGTACTTATTTAAGTAGTCCATATAAGAGGATGTTACTGTCAGCTTCGGCATATGATGCGGATAATAGGTTATTGCCTTTTGCAATAGCAGTGGTAAAGGGAGAGAATCCTGAGGACTAGACATGGTTTTTTCACACGATTAAATAAATAGTTAGTTCAATGCAATTGACTATTATGTCAGACTGACATAATTCCATAATAGGAGTTGTCCAAGCAATATTTAGGGGTGAAAGGCATGCATACTGTTATAGGCATATGAAGGAGAACTTTAGTTCTGAACATATGAAATTAAATAGAGGTTGGAGAAGGACAATTGGAAATTTAAAGGATATGCACTAAAGCTACTGGATAAAGTGGCTTATGCAAGACTTGCAAATGAGTTTGATCACACCCTGGATGAACTCAGAACCATGTCTTATGAGTTATATGATTGGGTTATCAATCAAGGTGATGTGGATAGGTGGGCAATGAGCAAGTTTCCATATAAAAGGTAGGATAACAAAACAACTAATTTAGCTGAATCTTTCAATGCTTGGATTGTAAGGGAGAGGAAGCATAACATGGCCCAAATGATCTATGAACACCGGGAGAAAGTAGCAAGAAAGATGCATGTATCATATATGGCAATGACTAAGTGGAGTAATTGCATTAGGCCGAAAATAGAGACAAAAGTGTTGGAGCATGTGCATCTCAGTAGGTATATGCACTATGAGAATTATAGAGGGGGAAGAATATGCATGTGCACATCACATGAGACCAAAGAGTAGACCTTGGCCTATACCAATACAGTTGTGAAGCTTGGCAAATGTCAAGGATTTCATGCTCACATGCTTGTGCAGCCATTAAGACCATAAGGGGAAATGTTTATGATTATGTCAAAGAGTGTACAAACGTTCATCCCAAGAGAAAATCTATGCTCGGAGCATAGTTTTAGAGGTGACAATTGATATGCCTGACTTAAATGACTATAAGTTTGAGAATCTTACTACCCAAACTTTGCTTTTACCCCTAATCACTACTAGACCTCTTGGAAAACCAAGAACAAACAAGAAGGAATCACAATTCCAGAACAAAAAAAAATATCATCGCACTAAATGTCACCAACCTAGACATACAGAGAGGACTTGCAAAAATCCTAACCCAAGCTGATACCAACTTACAAATAGGACAACTAATTTTTTTGGTACATATAGGCTCCACTCTTCTTAATTTTTTTGGGAGCAGGGTGTTGGTAGATGTGCACATACATTTTTATTAGTTCTATGTTTGGTGACAAAGGAACATTAAGTGGATAGAGCATGTTAATGTGCACTTGTCATTAAATGTTGTAAAAAATTGGTTGCTGTCATTAACTATTTATCAGAAGTGGTTGCTAGTCTTACTTAAAATTGTATGAAAACCTTATCGGAACTTGTCATTGGCCTTGCTTAACTTGTCACTAGCCTTACTATAGTTGTTATTAACTATTTATCAAAAATGGTTGCTATCAAAGAAATGTCCAAATTCTGATTTCAATAGAGAAATTTAAAATTGTATGAAAACCTTATCGGAACTTGTCATTTACCTTACTTAACTTAGTGAAGTTGTCATTAACTATTGTCAGAAGTGATTGTTGTCAAAGAAATCTCCAAATTCTCATTTCAACAGAGAAATTTAAAATTGTATGAAAACTTTATCGGAACTTGTCATTAGCGTTACTAAACTTGTTGTTGTAAATAAATGTGGAAATTCACTCATTTTAACGGTTTAAGATCAAATTTGTATGAGTCACTTATAAGAAGCTGTCATTGGTCTTACTTAACTTGTCATTAGCCTTATTGAACTTGTCATTTCATAAATAAATGTGAAAATTCACTCATTTTAACAAAGAATCTCAAATTTGTATGAGTCGCTTATCAGAAGTTGTCATTAACCTTATTGAACTTGTTATTTCATAAATAAAAGTTGAAATTCACTCATTTTAACGGTTTAAGGTCAAATTTGCATGAGTCATGTATCAGAAGTTGTTATTGGCCTTACGTAACTTGTCATTGGCTTTACTGAACTTGTCATTTCGTAAATAAATCTGAAAATTCATTCATTTTAACAGTTTAAGGTCAAATTTGTATGTGTCACTTATCAAAAGTTGTCATTGGCCTTATTTAACTTGTCATTCGCCTTAGTAAACTTGTTATTGGCCTGAATCAAGGGGAATTAGTCATTCAAAATGTAAGTATTGTTATACCATCAATCCAACTATATCATAACCATTCCAATAATCGACATTAAATTTTGGGAAAATGAATCCATTTAGAAAGTTAGTAAAATTTACAGAGCCTAAGTTAAATGCTTTCTATAAAAAATTTCTCCTTTTCTCAGTCATTCGGCCCTTCTCTGGTTGTGAGATAAGATCGTTCGCATTTTAACGACATTCATTGTCATCATGGTTCACTAGCCACCATATCAACTTACACCGAAAAGCGAACACATCAACTTGTACAGCAAATTTATCACCTGATGAGTCACAGCTAGTCACTGTTGATTATACAATAAATAAGGTAACCACATTACCTGATTGTACTAAAGGGAAACATCAGGCTCCTATTTGCTGAGCCATATGAGCACATGCACACTGCAATCCTTCCTGCCTACAACAACACCCTAATGGTTTAAGCCCCTCAAATCAACACTGCCAAACAACATATAACATAAATAGGGTGCATACACTCACAAATTATTCTACTATGGTATATCAGGCTAGACATTTTCCAAGTTTCCTATCTTATGAATCAAACCTAGTCTAACCATCTAAAGTATATTTTCAAACTGATCTGATCCCTATGCACATATATCATATTCATCAAAATGATAATAATATAAAACTGTCATTTCCCTATCCAACATGCACAGGTCAAAAATATTTTCTAACACAAATTGTGATAGCCATTTCTTGAGGGTCATAAGTGGCTGCCTTCTTTTACTTAGAGTTGGTCTTCTTACGCTCTAAACTTGCTCGCATAGAATCGAGGACATTGAACTTTAGGGTCTTTGGTTTAAGAGTGAAGTAGAACTAATGCGCTCCAACTAGAGCAGGACCTAGAATCAAGTTGTAGTTGCCTATGTTATACGCAACGATTTAGATCACAGATCATTATGGCCTGTGAAATGTATAAAATAAAGTTGTTATTCACAGTAACACACTTTATTCTCTCATTTCCCTTTACAAACTTGTAAATCTACAAAGTACATTAGTAATACAGAAACCTCACCATAAAGTTTGTATCAAATATATGCCTCCTAACACGCCCTTTAACTGCCTATTGCTCTTCCACCATAGTCTTACAGACCAATGACATCACCCTATTACTGACTCTGTTATTTTCGCCAAGTGAATATAGCAATTATCGAGGGATGTCTTCATCTAACATTCTGATCAAAGGATTGAAACTTATTCAAGTCAGTTACTAGATATGTTATGTCAATATGTAGTCAAAAAATAATATCACATAAGCTAAGATTTTCACTTACATCTCGCCCTTATCACCTTTCACAGTTTGACCGACTGAGGTGAAAAAACTATCCTTAGGTCTATAGGCCTTTTTACTCTCGATTGTCCCTTCAACTCCAACTAAGGAGACTTGATCTTGCTAAACTGAACCCTAGTAGATCTCCTTAGTTGTTGTGGCTCCACAAATATAGGTTCTGGAATAGACTCAACATATTCAACAATGACCAAGAGGGATACCTCCATCAGTATGTCACCCTCTGCATCATCACCTTCGACGCTGGGTGGCACATCTATAGGGGAACTGGCTATGGGTATATCACCCTCTGTATCATAACCTTCAACATTGGTTGGCATCACCATAGGAGAACTAGTTCCCGGTATGTCATCTCCCTCCCTATCACCCTTATGTTCATTGTCCCCTTTACCTATGTCATCACCATCCCTATCACCCTTTTCGTCCTTCTCTTCATTCTCACTGTCATCCTCCTTTTTAGCCTCCCCGTCACTATTCTCATGACTATCTCTATCTTCACTGCCTCCTTCATCCTTCTCCTTTTCCTCAGTTGTGTCATCATTGTTGCACTTGTCCTCCTCATCATCTTCAAACTCACTGATATTTATAGGCATTGTCTCAATCTAAGTGTTTCCTCTTGATTTACCCTTCTTGTCATTTCCTTATCTTGAGATCTACACCTTCACCAGCTCCTCGTCCACCATTATTAGCATCTTTTACCTTTCCTCTATCCTCTTCATTAGGTGATCGTGTAACTTCTTCAACTCTTATATGCAAAAGACATTTATCAATTAAGTATAAAGAATGACAAGTTCACTGTACGAATTGACAACTTCAATAAACCAAATCACAACTCAAGTATGCCAAATGACAAGTTCACTGTATGGATTGACAACATCAGTAAACCAAATCACAACTTTAGTATGCCAAATGACAGGTTCACTATAGCAAATGACAAGTTCACTATAGTGAATGGCAACTTCAGTAAACCAAATCACAACTCAGATATGGCAAATGACAAGACTATGGCAAATGACAAGTTTACTAAAGCAAATAACAACTTCAATAAACTAAATCACAACTCAAGTATGACAAATGACAAGTTCTCTATGACAAATGACAAGTTCACTATAGCAAATGATAACTTCATTAAACCAAATCACAACTCAGGTATAGGTATAGCAAATGACAAGTTCACTATAGTGAATGACAACTTCAGTAAACCAAATCACAACTCAGATATGGCAAATGACAAGTTCACTATAGCTAATGACAACTTCAGTAAACCAAACCACAACTCAGGTATGACAAATGACAAGTTCTCTATGACAAATGACAAGTTCATTATAGCGAATGACAATTTCAGTAAGCCAAATCACAACTTAGGTATGACAAATGACAAGTTCACAATAGCGAATGATAATTTCAGTAAACCAAATCACAACTTAGGTATAGAAAATGACAAGTTTACTATAACAAATGACAACTTTAGTAAACCAAATCACAACTCAAGTATGGCAAATGATAATTCTCTATGGCAAATGACAAGTTCATGATAGCGAATGACAATTTCAGTAAACCAAATCACAACTCAAGTATGGCAAAATGACAAGTTCACTATGGCAAATGACATGTTCACTATGGCGAATGACAACTTAAGCATGGAAACAGAAAACCTAACTATAGGAAATGAAAACTTCACTTTAGCGAATCACAACTTAAGTTTGGGAAATGACAACTTAACTATGGCAGATAAGAAGTTCAGGTTAGCAAATAAAAAGTTTAGTTTACCAATTATACCACATACCGGGTCCAAAAACTCTACACTTATCCTCTCTTCTTTTCCCGTCACAACTTTACTAGCCTTTTCTCCATACATAATTCCCCTAACACTCTTTCTCTCCTTACTGGTCAATTCTTTTATCTTCTCATCCGTCTAGTATTCAATTGCAGTACTGGAGCCTCGGCCAATGGGTGTGTTGAGGTTAAAATGCTCACATATAAGAAAGCTACAAGCCAACCACATATATACAATATTAATGTTATACACATCGATTATCAAATGCAAACACAATGAGAAACAAAATAGTCATACCAAAAGCAAGTATATGCAGCTACCAACAATGCTGCTCCCCTGCTTTTTGTTGCCCTGCCTATACGCTTTCACATAGTCTCCCATTATCTTTCTACAAGTTTTCCATAATATAGGTAACCTAATCATACTTTTCAAAGTCATCTATTGTGTAATGCATGACTCTGACCAACTTCTCACTCACTTTTGAGCTTGATTTTGGACATAGAAAAGTATCCAACATGTATAGAACAAATAAAAACTCAAATCTATGATCCTCTTCCCTTAAAACAATGTCTTTCATTATTTTGTTGGTGACACTCTCTGATATTCATTTCTTAACTCCTTATACATAGCATCACCCTTATCAACTTCAGTTTTCACCTTCTCCCACCATGACAGATTCCTAGGAGCTGCTCAACATCTTCTGCTCCTATTCCCTCTAATTTCCCCTTGATTGTAAATTGATGTATTGGTGAGTCATATGATCTCAACATGGTCACAATGAGATCACGGGGTAGTCTCTTTAATCCAACCTTCAACAGCTTCCTGAAGCCTATCCTCTCAACCCTCTCCCTTAAGTCTTCATTACTATCCACAAAGTGTAGTAATTTTCTTAAACCCTTCAAGGACACTCAAGTTAGAAATGATGGAACACATTTCTTTTTCTCTTGTTCTCCCTTTTATGGCCTTGTTTTCTTCGCCTCCTCGGTATACCTCATCTTCTCTTTAAAGGACAGAGCTTTCCATGCATTTGACGCAGGATCTTTTTTTTTTGTTTGGCTTTCATGTTAGGGTCAGCTATTGTGGCCAAAAACTCACTTCTAAATAACAACCAACCATTGTGTGCCTTTTTGGATCCAGAGGCTCTATTTGATGCCATCCTTCTTTTCTTGCAAAACATTCAATATATAATCGTTCACAACCACATTTACTAACTAACTAACAGCTCTGTTAACAATCTAGTTTTTAAGCAACAGCCTTCTTACATCACCACCATTGACTTTTTATTTCGAAACATCAACTTGTAATTTCCTATAAACAAGTTGTCAATTTCTCAAACTAAACTTGTTATTTTCAACTACTTCTCATGCTTGTTATTTCTAATTATTAACCTGTCATTTACAATTATCAACTTGTTATTTTAGATTATAAAGTTCTCTAATTGTCATAGTCGGCTTTGTTATTCCTAATTTGTTATTGTCAATTTTAAACTTGTTATTTCCTATGGTTAACTTGTTAGGACCCCATGACAACCTTCTTATTTACAAACTACTCACTATATAAACTTGTTATTCACTATATTAAACTTGTTATTTCCTATTACCAACTTTTCAATTTCACAATTGTTATTTTATATTATCAACTTGTCAATCCCCCTACTCAACTTCTTACTCTTAACTTCACAATTGTAATTTCAACATACTTTATATTTTCATTACTAACCTTGTTGAATACCTACTTTTATGTTGTCATTTTAAACCAGACAAACACTTTAACATCTCTTCAATTCAATTTACACTTAACCAATTCAATTTGCACTTTACCCATTCCTGTGTTGTCATTTCCCAAACTAATCTTGTCATCCTCCTAACTGATCTTGTCATTCCCTTCCTACCCAAACCCATTTGCACATGTTCTTTCATTAATAAGCATTTTTTTTCCAGTCAATTACAACTTATTCAACAAAAAAACATATAAATACTTTCGTGCCCTAAACGCATTCCCTCTCCTCAGTGTATCACACATGCAGTAACCAACACAAACAAACCAAAGCATCAAACTTACTACCATATTTTGTCATTGAATACAACTGCTAACTATGATAACCACAAACGACGGCCACCAAATATGCTACGATACCTCTACCTCCTCCCCTACCTTTGACAATGCCGACAAATCACTACTTGATCGCTACTTTGTTCGCCTCTCCCATAACAAATACACTCTTCTCTCACACAATACTCCTCTTGAAACATCCTTACTTTAAACCCTCAGAGTATACAATTGGAAGTGTTACAGTTCAACTCGTAGATTGAACTTGGGATTCATTCTCGGGTTACTGTTTACTGGTTAAATTCCAAAGTTTTCAGTCCAATTTTGAGCAATCATAACTCTGAGCACACACATCCGTTTTAAGTGATCTACCACTTGTTTTAAAGCTCAGGGTGTGTACTTTAATTATGCCAAATTTCATGAGTAGAGTCAGTCATTTGCCATATTGCTACTCTGTCAATATTTTGTTGCTCGATTAGGGATAGCTTATCCCCCTAACTTGCACTAATAGTTCATGGTTAAAACTTTCCATACATAATACCGTTCCATTCATACACTAACCATTCCCATATATTATCATAGCTAATTACACAAGCCAACATCATCATTTATCATCACATACCATCAATGACACATTTACAACATACATCGGTATATACGGTGTACAACGTAATACAATAAATTTCTCCAAATATTTTCTTCTTTCCTTGCTTCCACTTCATGTATCCTTCGCTTGATCATATCACCTATTATGGTTGGTTAAGGGAGGGTGAGATTCGGGAGAATCTTAGTAGCAAACAATAACCACCCCAAACATACATGGCAAGCTTGGCATTTATAACATGCTTGTAACTTAACATCTTTATAACATAATGACATGTTTAGAAATCATCATGCATTTATCATAAAACACATAGGCCTATGGCATATTTCAAATACATTCACAATCACAACACATGAGTTCATAAAATCATATAACATAGAAACATGTCATACATGCAAGCAAATACCAGGCACACAAAAGTAAGGTCAAGTTTGCTACCTTGTGTCTTTAAGCTTTCTTCTTACTCCCTTTTGCTTCACACTATTAAGGTTGCTTGCTCAACCACATCCAAACCTTCTCTTGGATGCCTCAAGGTCCTAATCACAACCATAAGGGTCACATTACTCATTAGGACCAAGAATTACACAATATGGAAGACTTATGTCCTTAAACTTAATCCCTTTTTTCTTAATTTATAATATAGTGTTCTAGCTTTGTAAAAATTGTTCCCTTAGGCCAATCCTACACAATTTTGCCCAAAAAATCCAAATATGAGCTTAGATTCATCAAAATCCAACTCTTTCCCCTGGTTCTAGGCCAAAACCGAAATCTACACTTAATTTCCAGTTTTGATTCCAATGCTTCCAACTTCATTCTTTCATCTTATCTCTATACAATTTTTCATTTTAAACACATTAGAAGCATCAAAATCACATCCTAGGCACAAGAACCAGGTTTGGTTGAAACATTTTCTCAAGTTACACAATCATGAAATTCAACCAATTCCAGCATAAAACCACTTGATTCGTGTTCCTTTCAAACCATTGAACATTAATCTAACATCAATTTCATCTTTCCCTATCCTTAACAATTTCGTGCAGCACCTCCCCTAAGGGTTCCAAGCTCCCAAAAATCATTAAAATCCATGACCAAGCTCAACAACAACAAGAGTAGTGAAAACTACATCAGAAACCATAAACATACCTTATTTTAGAGCTTGATCT